TAATATTTGAGCATTTGGGAAAAAAAAAAGATAAGAAAGAAATGAGAGCCACAGAAGGCTTGTCAGGATCTTAATTATAATTTAGCCTAACACCCTCAATTTATAGATAAGGAAAATATGGTTTCATACATGGGTAGTGCTATAAATAAGTGCAACTAGGTTTCACAACTTCCAATTCAACTGCCCTACTGTATTTCAGGAAGTGGTTACCATTTTCCTCTATATCCTTGTATAATACCCAAGTAAATTGGCAGGGCATAGATTAAACAATTAGGATGTGAGAACCACCGTTTCTCAGAGAAAATATTTCCCTTGGCTTTAGAAATTCTTAATATTGAAAGTTTTCTTATAATGCTCTTTATTGGGGGGGGTGAGGAAATGATCTTTTCATTGATTGATTTTCCAGAATAATTTTATGTTTAGAAATTGCCATTCTTCATGACCTGTATTAATCCTTAAAGAGGGTTACTTCAATGATGGATGGTGCTGTGACAGGTGACAGAGCAAAACCAAAAAAAAATAAAAATGAAAATCCAAACCCACTGTTGTAGAGCTGATTCTGATTCAGAGAGACTCCCATAAAGTTTCCAAGGCTGTAAATCTTTATAGAAGCAGACCACCACATGTTTCTCCTGCAGAGCAGCTAATGAGTTCAAACCGTTGACCTTTGGGTTAGCAACCCAATGCCTTAATCAGTGTCACCACAGTCTTTAATATTTCTATGCAATATCCATGATACTGCTGCTCTTGAATTAAAAACACATTTATTATTTCCACAAAACTACACTTCTAATTTGTCAAGATGACTTTTATCACACATACCAATTTTTCTCAGCTTTAATTCATTTCTTATTTTGTTTAATAAAACAGAGAAGCAGCATAATTTTATTTCATGCCTTTCACATAATATTTCTACTTAAATGTGATGAAATTTTTCTCCAACTGAAAGATTGATGCCCTTATTATAATAAAAACCAAACTCACTGCTGTTGAGTCGAATCCAACTCATAACAACCCCTCCTTGGGTTTGTGAGGCAGTATCTCTACAGAAGTAGATTGCCCAGTATTCCTTCTGAGGATTGGCTGGTAGGTTTAAATGGTCAGCTTTCTGGTTAGCAGTCAAATGTTTTAGGCCCTACACCACCAGAACTCCTCTTATTAGGATAGTTTTTTTTTTTTTTTTTTAATTTCCTTTATTAAATGTATTGGTTCATTATTAATTTATTTAACAAGTCTTTATTAGGCATCTCTAGAATCTACTACATTTCCTTATGGGATAAAATAACTGACAAGCAATAATTTCTTAGAAAAATACATAATATTTAAAACAAATATGAAGGTTTAGATGGCAACTAAGATCAGCTTTCCCTAACTACCTTTCTATTTATCAGCACATTTCAAACATGCGGCCAAAATATATTTATATACTATTCACTGACTTGCCCAATCTCAGCAATATCCTTCCTAGCTTTGAATAAGCCAAAATTTGAAGTGGCCAAGACTGATCACTTTAATAATTATTTATTCTATTCACTATTAATCTTTCAATTTGATCTGGCTCTTTAAAAAATTAAAGCCAAATATTATTTATATCATACAATTGAAAGATAGAGTGGACACATCATCAGGTAATTTAATAACTATTTCTGAACTATTACCCATTCTTTAACTCAGAAACTCACTCTTTGGTTTTGGTTTTTGTCACCTACTTCAAAAGTCAAATTGTATCTACCCTTGCCTTGCCCTGGTCTTTGGCAGAAAGTAATATAACTGTGACTAGATAATTATAAAGGCTTTATTTCATAATTATTAAAAAATTTTCATATTAAAATGATTATTAGATTTTAAAAAATATATTTTCCAAAATATTGAGTAAGTACTGGATATTATTTAAATTCTTAAACTCTGAGAAATAAACAACTGAGATTCAAAACACAAAAATTCTGAGAAAGAAACCTTGGAAAACAATACTTCTTGTTTTGAGTTTGTTTGATCATGTTTTAACAATTCTGGGGATCCTATTTTATGTTTAATTCTCAGTTAGTTATGTCTTACTGAATTCTGAAGAGCCTTGGTGGCATAGTGGTTAAGCCTTGACTGTTAACCAAAAGCCATGGGTTTGAACCCACTGGTTGCTCTGTGGGGGAAAGACATGGTAGTCTGTTTCCTTAAAGATTAACCAAAACCAAAACTAAACTCACTGCCCTCGAGTTGGATCTGACTTACAGTGGCCCCTCCTCGGGTTTCCCAGGCGGTATCACTACAGAAGTAAATTGCCCAATCTTTCTTCTGAGGAGTGGCTAGGAACCACCAGCCTTCTGGATAGCAGTCAAGTGCTTTAGGCACTATACTACCACAGCTCCTAAGATTACAGGCTTGCAAACCCTATACCCAACCTACTACCATCGAGTAAAGTCCAACTCATAGGGACTCTACAGGGAAGAATAGAACTTCCCTATAGGGTTTCCAAGGATGTAAATCTTTATGGAAGCTGACTGCCCCATCTTTCTCCCACAGAGTAGCTGATGGGTTCCAATGGCTAACCCTTTGGTTAGCAGCACAATGCTCAAACCACAGCACCACCAGAGCGCCTTTGGAAACACTATGGGGCAGTTCGACTCTGTCCTATAGAATCCCTATGAGGCAGAATCAATTTAATGGTAATGGTGTTTGGTTTTTTTTTTAATTAAAATTTTGTTTATTTTTTTAAAATTTCATAAATATATTATTTTTTCGGTTTAATTGAATTCTGTATAAAGAGGTAAGTCTCAAAGATATTATCATCTAAATTTATGTTGTTATTAAGTGCCCTCGAGCTGTTTCCAACTCACAGAGACCCCATACACTGCAGAACAAAACACTGCCCAATCCCACACCAGCTCCACAATCCCTGCTATACTTGAGCCTATCATGGCAGCCACTGTGACAGTCCATCTCGTTGAAGGCCTCCCCCTCTTTCGTCGACCCTCCACCCTACCAAGCATGACATTCTTCTCCAAGGAATGGTCCCTTCTGACAACATGACCAAAATAGGTGAGACTAAGTCTGGCCATTCTCGCTTCCAAGGAGCATCTCGGGTGTACTTCCTCCAGGACAGATTTGTTAGTTCTCTAAATTTATAGAGAACCTTAATACAGATAGTCTGTAGATTACAAACAAGTCCCATTCCTAAATCTATCTTTAAGTAGAATTTATACATAATTTGAACAGTTAGGTACAGTTCATATCTAACATCAATTAGTCAAATGTTTATGTTTGTTGTTGTTAGGTGCCATTGAGTGGATTCGAGCTCATAATGACCCTATGCACAACAGAATGAAACATTCCCTGGTCCTGTGCCATCTGCACAATCCTGCTCTCCTTGAGCTCATAGATGAAGCCACTGTGTCAATCATAATATCGAAGGCCTTCCGCCTTTCCACTGACCTTCCACTTTACCAAGCATGATATCCTTCTCCAGGGATTAGCCCCTTCTGACAATACGACCAAAGTAGGTGAGACAAAGTCTGGCCATTCTTGCCGCCAAGGAGCACTCTGGCTGCACTTCTTCCAGGACAGATTTGTTCATCCTTCTGGCATTCCATTGTGTACAGTATAGAGTGTACCTTTCCATGCATAAAAAATATTAAAATATCTTTAAGATAATAATACAACAATAATAATGATGTTTAGTTGCAAAGTAGCTCCCATTTGTTATTATGAGCCATGGTGTATGTATCTCAGATTTTCAATATAATAGGCTTTATAGGGTTTGGTTCATTAACTATGGGTTGTACGTAACCAGGAGACTGACCGTATGTCAAATATAACAAGAGTTTCACAGGTACTAATATTGTATATTATTGTTTTCAGTCTTAAATTTTACTTTTGAAGTTAACATTTTACCTTTAGCCTGTGAGAAGAAGCAAGAGGAAAAGACGTCAACTGTGAGATAAACAGAGATTTAGATGGAATGAGTCAGGGTGATTCAAGGAGGTTGAGAGAACTCAAGAAGCAAGGTGTAAAGAGAAGTTATGTTCAAGCAGATTCTTTGGAGCAGGGTCACAGACAATAGATTGTATGTATTGAAATCAAGGACCAAGGTCTCTCAAAATAGGTTAAGCAAAGAGGAAACTAGCAATTTTGGTGACCAGTGCAAGCAACAGGAAATGGGCCCTCAAACCTACTTTGTAATTCATGGGATAGTTCTTTTATCCATTGGAAGAGAGCATATGTTGCCAATATGTGAATTCAACACAATCTAAAATAGCATCATGATCCACAACTTAAAAAAAAAAAAAAAATACTGTTACCTCTATATTTAGATACCTTAGACATACTCAGGTTGCCCCACTCTGGGCTTTCTCTGGATTTCAGAATCCTAGAGTAGTTTAGAGGGAAATAGTTAGTTTGTTTTGAAGGCTGGAACTATGGAGTTGAATTTCACTGATGGTAGAAGTACTTATAGCAGAGGTGAACTCCAGGGCAGGCTATATTAACACAGGCAAGGCAGTCGGAATTCTCTACCTCTTGGTCTCCTCCTCTCAGTTTTCAGGTTTATAGTCACACTAGAAGAACGCTTTTACTGAGGAATCCAGGAGGGCTCTTTGGAGATAGCCATGAAGGGCAGTGACTGCATGAACAACTAGTTGATTACAAAATTCTGTCCTTGGGAGAACAATTCATGCATGAACATTTTTAACAGTTCCAGAGAACTGATGCATGTAAAAATCTCTAGTGTCAACTCTTTTCAAACAATTCAAGCTTGTGCATATTTTGTTGCCCATTGCCTCTCACAATCTTTTCACACAGCAACCAGAATAATCATTCTCCTCTTTCATAACCTCCAATGATTTCCTATCATTCCCATCATACCCCTGTTTAATCCCTCCAGTAGTGTC